GCACAAGCGTTCTTGCATAATTTCATGGGTATGGTACAACTATCAGCGAGGCAATCAGCTATGCACTTCTTTTTGGCTTCGGATGCTTCGGCATCAGCACTACTAGCCACTATAAAGCACACCACCAACAACAATGCAACGTATTTGTTTCCCATTCTTTTCTTTTGCCCTTGTTCGTGGCTTAATTTTCCTCTTTCCCTGTCGTGCTTACTTCTCCAACATACTTGCTATATATAGCTGCATGGAATGCTTCATCAACCACAAACAGGGCCATGTTTTGTTGCTAAAATTCGGCCTTCTTGTTAGTTATACTGTCCAAGACTTTTGAAAATTTATAAAGGTTAACTAGACTATTAAAAACTGTAATTACTCTTAGAAACAGTCACGTCATTCATTCAAATTAAATTAAACTTAGATTTCTAAAACAATCATAACACATAACATAATATCTCATTAAAAGTGGTTGTTAGTCGCACCAATAACGTCATAGAAAATATAATAAAAATTAAAAAGAAGGTGAATGGTATTTTATTGGTATTATTATTATTATTATGATAGTTAAGAGGACAAGCAGGGGACAAGAGGATAAGCTCCGTTTCCGTCCATCTCAATTCAATTTATGCTATAAGCTATGAATCTTCCTTGATATGCCAGGATCGCCACCTTCAACATAGAGAGAATTTTCAAAATCACCAAGTCAAGAAACAATAATAAATGTATATAAAGTTTATATAATTAAGCAGAAAAGTTAATAATAAATGTGAAAATATAATTAAAACAATCATGTGAATAGAGTGTTTTATGTTACTACTTTAATAAAAGAGAATAAGATGGGAAGTTACCCGTTCCTGGTAATGGTAATGGGCTAATACAGCGGAGCTGACAAAGGAAATTGCAGAGGTAGCCGCGTGGCCTGCAACTATTATTGTAGCAAAAATCCAAGCAAATCCTTTTGGCTTCTTTGAAGGTTAAGGCATCAGCACTTCCAGCGACTATAAGGCACACCAACAACAACATAACAACGTTTTTGTTTCCCATTTCCTTATTAATTTGTTTTCTTCTCCGGTTGGTCTTGGAAGACATGTATATATGGATGCCCAAATAGTTCATGATGAACCACAAACCGTCTCATGCTTCGTTTCTGAAACGACGGTTTCTTGTTAGTTATAGTATTGTAATTTTAACAAAACAACATGAAAATTAATTAATTCATTAATTACATTATTATAAAAGAAGATCTTATCAACACCACATGTAGCTTATTTCATCCAAATGTAGCTTAAATTATTTTATTTTTCTAATTCATAAAATATATAATTATAAAAACACTATTACATATTTAACCGCTACTAACATGTGAAAAAATGTTGCTGGTTTATTTGAGTTATATAT